CCTGGGGGTGAGACATGGGCTGGGCTGGGACCAGGCCTGATGGAGCCCTCACGGCTGGGCCGACCACCCAGCACCCCAGGAAGCCCCTGGGAGGCTTGGCTGGCGCCAGAGAGGGACCTGTGAGTGCCAGTACGTGGCTGGGGGTCCGGCCAGGCCTCTCTGGGAGTCACATCCAAGGAGGAGAGGAGGGAGGAAGTGTGGAAGGGAGCTACTGGTGGGGGAGCTCAGGGGCTGCTCTGTGCCTCAGTTTCCTCACGGGAAGTCACTTTCTGACTGGGAATGCCAGAGATGGCCTGTATGCAGAGAACTGGGGGCTCCCCTGGGTTCTGAGCTCCAGATGTTGAGCCAGAGAGGGTGAGAGAGGGCAAAGCTCTGTGCTCCACTTCCGGACCCCTGGAGTGACGACCAAGCTGGTTCTGGCTTTGAGGGCAGGCTGGGGCCCCTCATCCCCACCAGAACCCAGCCAGGAGACCTTTGGGTCTCCCTATTCCTGAGACCCCCAAACTCCCATCTATGTGGGGACCCTGTGGGCATTCAGGGCCCGGGCTCCCTCCTGGGACAGCCATTTTGGGGGGACACACACGGGCCGGGACAAGGGGAATGTTTTTAACCAGAAGCGCCTCTATGGGGAAAGCAGTGTGGGTTTCACGATATCTGGCAGGCAGCAACTCCCACGGCAAGAAATCCTGCCTGGCTTCCTGTGTCCACCTGGGAAACATGCCTGGCTTTGGCCTTTCCTGTCTCTTCAGTCACCCCCAGTCCACCCCACCCTGCCATGTGGCCTCCCAGCTGGGATGTGGGCAGTGCACGGGGCTTCTATCCTCATGGCCTTTGCATGCTCTGTTCCCTCTGGCTGGAACACCCTTCCTCCAGTCCCCCCGAACCTCCCACCCTTGAGCCGAGGCTGGTTTCTTTGGGTTCCTCCCTGACTTGCCCCAGGGAGAGAGGACCCACTGTCCCCACCACCCTGGCCTGGCCTTCACCTCACCTTGGTTTTCCCTCTGGGGCATAGTTTGTGTTTGCTCGGCTGTGCCCTCTGTTTTCCTGTTCTTCCAGACCAGACTTTGAGCTCCAGGAAGGTGGGGACCGTATCGGGCTAGTGGGCTGACGTGACCCCAGGCCCCAAACTCCCCCTGACACATGTAGGTGCTCAAGAGATACTTGTGTAAGTGAATTCTGAATCGTGACCTCAAGACTCTCACATATGGATGGTCCCTACTTGCCCTCCCACCCCCGCTTCCCACAGCCGTCTTCCCTGGGAGTGAAGTGGGAGGGACCCCACTCAGAACAGGGCTGGGCTCTGCGGTGCTCCTAGGCGGGGTGCTGACCCAGGGGTATAACGACCAGGATGTGCGCCAGGCCTTAAGGAGACACGCAGTCCACCAAACAACGCACACAATGATGACACAGGATTTAGAAGCCGACAGGTGTGATGGACAGAATCAGAGGTAAAGAGCAAGTGGGGCACGGCTGGCTGGGTAGGATGCCATTTCAATATCGTGTTAGGGAGGCCTCGGTGGGGAGGTGACACCGGAGCTGAGAACTGAGGGAGGTGAGGGGGGAGCTTAGGGGACATCTGGAGGGAGAGACAAGTCCAGGCTGAAGGCACAGTCCATGCAGAGTCCCTGGGGCAGGACTGTGCCGGGCGCGTTGGAGGAACAGCCAGGAGCCTGTGTGGCCGGAGCAGAGTGAGGAGGGAGGTAGGGAGGGCAGGGAGGGGAGGGGCAGGTGATGCAAGGCCTCGTGGGCCTCAGGGAAGACTCGGGCTTTTACCTTCAGGGAGGTGGGAGCCCTGGAGGGCCGTGGGCAGCGGGGCGGGGCCTGACTCGGGTGCTGACACTGGCTGCTTCGGGGAGGGCAGACTGGGGATCAAGGGTGGGAGCCGGCGACCAGGATGGAGGTGAGTACCCTGGTCCAGGTAGGCGATGATGGGGGCTGGAGGGAGGGAGAGGTGGGCAGATCCATTATCGATTCTGAAGGCAGACGAGCGTGAAAAGGGGTGAGAGGGCCAAGGACCAGCCCCCTAGGTCCCGCAGGGGCAAATGCCCACCCTCCTCCAGAGGCTCGTGCGTCCTCCCCAACCCCCAAACCCACGTCCAATGTAACTTTTAAAAGGCATTTGCGGGGGTATAGTTTTGCTTTTAAAATCACTTGGCCGCAAGAACATTTCCCTTGTCCCACTGGGAAACCTTCCAGAGGCAGTTTACAACGTTCTTCCCCAACAACAGCTGATAGCAGTAACAGTAATACTAGTGGTAATGATAAAAGGACTCAAGCTGAGTGGCTGCTGTGAGCCAGGCCCTGCGAGGTCACCTCCGGGGCCTCGTTCCCTCTCATCTGTCAAACAGGACCACCTGAATGGCTCACTCTTTGGGCTGCGGGGAGGGTTGGATGAGCTGCAGAAACAAGAGCAAGGCCGCGTGGACCGCAGGGCCCTGCTGACGGCGGGGAAAGGCCGGAAGCTTTGTCCTCTGGTCTCACTGGGACGGCTCCTTTTCTCACACCCGGCCTGGCCTGGACGGCTGGGTCAGTCCTTGCGGCCTCATCCCTGCTGGCAAGTGTCTGTAGGGCTGGGGCCCTCGGGGAGGTGCCCACTGCCCCCAGCCCTTCCCAGCTCACCTGTGCCCCCTCACCCCCCCCAATTCCAGGCCTTTGCCCCTGCTTTGCCCTCTGGCTGGGACGCCTGCCTCCGTCATGCACATCTGGAAAGACCTCTTCATTCCCGGGTCCTCACTACTCCACCTCGTCCAGGAAGCCCTCCTGCCCCTCCAAGGAGGCGCCGGCTCCCTGAGTCCCTCCCTCTCTTCCAGTCCAGACTGCTTGGGGCAGGGAACAGCTTCATCAAGGCAGGGCGTGGGGGTAGACAACACTGGAAGGATCCTTCTCTGCCCTCTGTGGGGGCTGCTGTGGCAGGAGGTGGGGTTCAGGCAGAAGGGTGGGAGGGGATTGGATCCTCTGGACAGGGGCGGTCCCCACGGGGCCTGCTTATGGGGATGATGTCAGTCCCTTACAGCCTAGTAAATGTTTATGGGCAAGGGGGCCTCGGTTTGGGGCTCCCTGGAGACCAGGAGGCAGCTGCTCCCTCCTGCCCCATTTTGGGGGGCCTGGGCTGCTGGTGGGGGGCCTGGCAGACCTGCTCCAACACTGGCCGCCAGCCCGCAGAGGGCTGGGTGGGCGGCAGCACGGCCCAGGTCTGAGCCGGCAAGAGGGGAAACCGAGGCTGGGAGGCATGAGGGCTGGCTGGCTGTGTCCTCCTCCCCTCTCTGGGCCCCAAATCCGGTGCAGGGTCTGGGCTTTGGGAAAGCCGGGGGCTGAAGAAGGGTGTGCGGGAGGGGGAGGCCCAGGCGCATCTGCTTCTGGAAGCTACTGCCGTGCGGGGCATTGAATAGGCCCCCGGCTCAGTCCTCAGCATCCTTGATGACGCTCATCGGTCCTACTTAGAGCAATGGGTCCGACTCTGAGCATCTGGCACCCCTGCTCCCCTGGCTGCGGCAGGTGGGCCAGATGTGGAGGGAGGGGCCAGCGGATGGAGCGGGAGGCAGAGATGGAACTCAGCTCCTCTGAGGACACTGAAGGGCCACAGGGCCGAGGACCTGGGGGTGACTGGCCATGGTTCTGAGCGTGGTGGGCTCTGCCCTCTGCCGGCCACCACGGAGACAGACTAGGCAGGTGAGAGCAGGGGACCCCACCCCCCGGAAAGGCATGGAAGGGGCGCTTCCCTGGGGCAAAGTCATCTTCCCTTTTGGGGAACACCTCTGAGGGAGGGACCGTCATACCCACTTGCCAGGTGGGGAACGGGGACAGAGCCAGGGAAGAACCGAGTACTGGGACTCAAATGCAGGTCCGGGAGCCCAGAGCCCTCTGTAAGGGCTCAGACGGCCCCCTGGGCCCTCCCCTCCCAGCCCAGGGGCCGGGGCATCTCCAGCCTCTCTCAGGGGCTCCAAGTCCGGGCACAGGCACCGAGGCCTGGGCATTAGCCGGAGCAGGCACCCACTCCCGGGAGGACGTGCTGGGCGGGGGCCGTGAGGAGCCAGCGGGGCGAGGCCAGCCCAGCACGCCGGGACTCTGCTCTGCCCACGTGTAGCCTCAGAGGCTTAACACCAGGGTTAGTTACCACCTGGGGTGGACAGAGGAGGAAAGCAAGGCTCCGAACTTGGCTTTCAACCATGTCCAGGCCCCTAGGGCAGGCTCGAGAAGACGAAGGAAACAGGACAGGGCCAGACACTGGCGAGGGGGCGTGTGAGGGCTGCAGCCAGCCCAGCCTGCTCCGGCTGCCCCAGACCACCTGTAGCGCCCAGATTCCCCACCAGGACCCAATCCTGCCCTTGCCCAGCCCTTCTCCCTAGGGTGGGGCCCGGGAGAACCCTAATTTATGGCCCACTGAGGCGTGCTGGAACATGCCGGGCCTTCCCTGCTGGCTGCCAGGACGGACAGAGCCAGTTCTGCAGAAGGCCCGGGGGCCGGGCCGTGCCAGAATTCCGGGGTGGCCTAAATCACTGCGCCTGACTCGACGCCCTCCTTTCAATGCCACTGTGGGCCCCTGCCCGGCAGGCTCCTGGTGGCCTGTCACCCACCTGTCATATGGGGATGTGGCTCTGGGGCCAGGCCATCCGTGCCTCTACGCTCCAACGCCCAGGAATTCGGAAGTGAGCCGTGTGTGGGGCCTGGGCGTGTTTCCCACATGTTGTTGGCTTTGGGGGGAGGCCCAGAGAGGGACCTGCACGGGGGCTGTAGGAAGGGCTGTGGGTCACGGGGCCCAGCTTGCCGGACAACCGGCTGGCCACCTGCAGGCTCCTGCCCGCCAACGGAAGTGGCTGTGGCCCGGCGACCCCTGCCTGATGCCCGGCTGGCGCCACCGGCCCTGTCGGGCACAGACCCAGATGCCTTATCTCCCACTCCCGTCCTCGTCTGCCCGAGCCTCCCTGGTGCCGGCCTGAACCCCAGCCCTCTCTGGCAGGGCTTCGCCCTGGAGAAGGAGGGGAAGGGGAGGAAGACTCACACAGACAGACACAGAATTTATTTTCAGACGAACTTCAACCTGCCCAATGTCCTGGGGAGGCAGCGGGGCTCACACCTTGGGCTCTGCGAACACCTTCCAGCCCTCCATCTGGCCCATCTTGACCAGGGCAGCCATGATGCCCATGTACGCGCAGCTGGCGGCTCCAATCCCGAAGCTGTGGGCTGCGAGAGCGGGAGAGGTGGCATCAGGTACGTGGTGGGGCTTGCCCATGCCCGTCCCAGGAGCTGGGCTGTGACCCTGAGAGGACGGCCCTCCCTCCAAGAGTGGGCCACTGGCACGATGGACTCCTCGGGGACTGAGTCCCCGGACCCTCCAACTGAAGATGTGTGTGGAGACGGAGGTAGGCTGTTGCGTCCAGCAGGGGTCACGGGTGACATGTGGTGGGTCCCAGCCCGGGTCTGCCCTGTGGGCCACGAAGCAAAGCAAAGAGCGCAGGATGCCCGCTGAGGAGAGCCGCCACAGGGGGTGCGGGGCTCACACCCCACCGCAGACGCAGGGGCATGTGCCAAACCCAGACCTCAGCCCAGGTCTCGGAGCAAAGGCCAGGACAGCGCAAGCCTTCCTCCCCAGTGCCCTCCCAGGGGCCGCAGTGGTTTGTCTGCATGGCCTCCTTTCCTCCCGCCGCGGCCCGAGGCTGTGGGAGGCGGGAAGAGCGGCGTCTGCTTCCTATTCCCTGCGGCTCCGTTGTGCCAGGCTGGCCCGGGGGCCCCGCCCTGCCTCCCATCAGGGTGGCATCCTTCCGCTGGTTCCTGGGTGACCTGGGACCACCTGATCCCCGCTCTGAGCCTCAGTCCCTGCACGTGTAAAGTGGGGGTGGTGGGAGCAGCTCCCCAACAGGCTGTGCAGTCAGTCAACTAGCACCGCCATCCCTGTGCTCAGGGGCTGGTGGCGGAAGAAGGCAGTGACCTCGTGTTCTCTGACAAGGCACAGCAGACAGAGAGATCAGAAGTGAGGGCAGGCTGCACATCGGCGGGTAAGGAGGGGGAGAGGGAGCTGTGATGACGTCGAGGGGAGGGCGTTCAGGCAGGGACACAGCTTGTGCAAAGGCCCTGGCATGTTGGAGGAACAGCGAGGAGGCCGTGTGGCTGGAATGGAGAGAGTGAGGAGGACAGAGGGAGGAAGCGAGGGCAAGGAGAGGACGGGACAGGTCGTGCACGACCCTGGGGGCCACGCTGAGTGTCACGGAGCCACGGGCGCGCAGGAGGTGCTTAGATGGCGGCTGTTAGTACTGTCAAACTGGCTGGGGGCCGAGGTTCAAAAGCACTGGGAGCTTTCAGGACAACTGTCTTCCCCTCTGCTGGGGTGAGCATTCTGCCCACCTGGCCCCTCCTGGTCCCCAGTCTGGGAGAGAATGGAGAGGGAGGAGGGTCAGCAGAGTCAGGGGTAGGGGTTCACTCACTGCGCGCTCCCAGGGTCAAGCCTCCGGCGCAGCCTCCGATGAAATAGTTCAGAGGGTCATCGGGCTTCTCTCGGACCTGGGCGCTGATGCAGGAAGTGAGGCCGAATATGGCACCGATGGCGGCTGCAGGGGCAGAAGAGTCTGAGTTAGGGGCCCAAAGGGGCGTTGATGACCAGATCGGTGCCAGGAGGACCCCCAAGAAGCCGAGAGGCCCGCAGGCCCACTCACCTGCAGTGAATGTGTGCCGCCCTGTCCTCGCCACTCCCTCCAGGAAGGAGCCCGGGGGCCAGAGTGCGATGCTGTAGGCAGAGACCATCAGGCCTACAGGACAAGAGGGGTCAAGCGGGTCAGACCTGGGCCTCCAGCAGCAGCCCAGCAGGGGGAGGCCCCTCTGCCATCCTACACGCCAGCTCCCTTCGTCCCCACGGCACCCACCACGACAGCTCCCAGCACCACCCCTTGGCCAGGGAGGGACTGTTACAGGGCTCATCCAGGGTCCCACAGCTGCTGAGCTGGGACTCGAACCTGGCTCTCCTGCTCCAAGGCCTGAGCCCTTACCCTCACTCCAAGCCACCAGGCCTGACCGATGCTAGCTCCTGCAGAACACTGCCTGCGTCACCGTGTCTGGCCCTCCGCCGGGCAGCAGCCCAGCACACGGCAGACACAAGGATGAGCCTGGGGCCTTGGCGGCTGGGCTGGCAATCTGGTCCCCCTCCCATCAAAGGTTCCATTCTGCTGTGGGGCCCAGGGCTCCTTGGCAGAGGCTGGCTTCCGGGGCTGCCAATGCCTCCCCCTCATGGCGGCTGGGCCCCCTCTGGGTGGGCAGCTCAGCCTGGGCTCGTCCCTCACACCTGGCTGGCTTGGCTGGCCACCCTGGTCAGCTTTTCTGACTCTGCTGTCGCCCTGGCTGCCCTGCCCCTGATGTTGGCTTTTACGCGTGAGGGGCTCTGGTTGAGGAGGCGGTACCTGGAGCCAAGTGCCGGGTGGGTGGCAAGGATCAATGTTCTGCCCTGGGGCATCCTGAGTGAACGCTGACCTGGGCCAGTGTGTGGGTTTGGGGAGAGGCTGGGGCACTCTCGGGCGGCTTCCCCAACGAGACCCTCCTTGGTGGACAGGTAGACCAAACCCACTTGGCTGGTTCTTTGCCACCAGGACAGCCCAACACAGGGCTCTCCACCCGCCAGCTGACCCTGCTCAGGGCAGACAACCACTCCCCTCCTTACAGACCCTCAGTGTGGCCCAGTTGCCAGCAGAGACCCCTGGGACTAGCCCATCCCAGATAAAACAGAACTGGCATCTGCCAGGCGGCTAGGGCTCCCACCACCCCATCCACCCCCTCAGGGCCCAGGGGGCTCAGTCTCCTCTTATCTGTCACTTGGCAGGAGGGGAGGGGCCCTCAGACATGCATAGCGACTTGCCCAACGTCACCGGCAGAGCAGCTTGGAAGCCAGGTGGGTCTGACCCAAAGGCCAAGTGCTACCCTTCAGTGGTGCCCAGGGACACAGGCCCCACCCAGTCCCCAAGACTCTATCTTCTATTGCCTGCAGGCCCCCAGATGACCTTCCCAGCTGAGCAGTGTCCCCCCCAGCCTTGGCTGGGGTTCATCTTCAGAGCAACCCTGAGGACGGCCAAGATAGCCCTCGCCACTTCACAGATGGGGAAACTGAGGCCCAGGGATGAGGGGGAAGGAGCCATATACACGGACGGCTCCCATGGGCAAGGCGCCCATCTGGGAACCCTGCAGACCTCATTTCTCCCAATCCCACGATGAACCCTAGGGTCCCTGCTCACCCTCAGAGGGGCTGAAGGCTGGGAAGAGGGTAGTAGGCTGGAGTCTGCTCTGGGGCTCCCCACCTCCCGCGCCTAGCAAGCTCCCATCCTCAATCTCTCACACATGCCCCCACCCAGCTTGTAAAGAGACTTAAGTAGAAGGGGCTTCCTGTCCCGCCTGGACCTGGTGAGGCGTGATCTCCAGAGCTGGGCCAGGAACGAGGGAGCCACTGACAAGACTCAGCAGTGGTCCCTGAGCCCAGTCACGCAGCAAGCCCTGGGGGAACCTCATCCACCTCACCCACACACGCCTGCTGTCCTGGCCAAGGGACGCTCGGTTCGCAGGCCACGCTGGACGGAGAGAGGGCCGCCACCATCCCACATCCCCTCACGAGTCCTCTAACTGGGAGTGGATGATCTGGAAGCCCCGGACTATCTCTGGGTCCAGGACTGTCCCCCCCAACCCCCAGCTCTCCTCCAGCAACCATTCAGTAAGTGATGCCCACCTCTGCTCCAGGAGCCCACCTGACACCTCTGGCGCCACAGCCTCCCTCCCAGCACGTAAGGGTCTCAAACAGGCCCCCTTCAACCCCTGAGAAGAATCCCCCCAGCCTCTCCACTTGCTCCTGGCTCCCCACTGGCTTCCTGAAATTAACCTGCAGACACAGTGTACATTCATTCATTCACAAACAGTAACTGTGTGCCCACATTTACTCATTCATTTGTTCAAAGGCACTCATTCATTCTAGTTACTATGTGCTGGGCTCCTCTAGAGTCCAGCCCCCTGCCCTCCAGGGGCTCATTGTCTCAGAGGAGTTCTCTGGGGTGAGGACCAGGGGAGGCAGGGGAGGGAGGAGGGGAAGGGAGGGGAGGATCCAGGAGAACCGTTTAAACCAGGTCTGGTAAGTTGAGTAGAGCTGGCCGGTGAGAAAATGCTGGTGGGGAAAGTGAGCAACACACTTGAAGACCCCTGGGGCGCAGCCGGGCTCACGGAAGCCAGTGACCACCCCCAAATCTGAGTCTCTCCATGACTGCCCGAGACAGCACCTCTGTCCAAGGTTCCCACCCACATCTGCTCACACACCCTCCAATGAGCCCCCACCTAGAGACTCCTCGTTCACTCGGCAGTACGCCACTCCTGGGACGCGCTGTCTTCCCCAGTGGCCCCTCAATGGGGTGTGCATCTGTGAGTGTGCACGTGTGCTCCCCCTCACAAACGCCAACCTTATGTCCTTCTCAGTTTCGACATCCCCTAAACCCTTCACTACTCCAAATCTCCCTGCAGGCCCCACACGCTTCACAGGTGACGCCCTCCTGCTTTAATCTCCCCTGAGACGCCACCAGGACCCCCCATCAAGTTCTGTGGGGCGCTCCCCAATGTCAGCGTCCTACAGTATGAATCCACCAGAATGACATACTCCGACAGTGACCTCTCCACACACACTGCCCAGCCCTCCAGGGCTCTTGAAGTGCCCCCAGAGAAGTGCCCCTGACCATCCTAACAAAATGTTATTCCAGTAGATTGCACATAACCCATTCCCTGGGACTTCCCCTTCAGCTCGCTCCTGAAGACCCTTCATATGGACCCTGGAGGCACATTTCTTGCCCCAGTAACCCACAGGAGCAGATTAGCAGGCCTGGATTCGCAGCCCTGGCTCCAAAAGGCCCCTGGGGAGTGAATACACCTCCCTAATTTTGTTTCTGCCTCTGAGAAATAGAGATGGTAATCCTGGATCTCACTAAAGATGCAGAAAATGACAGGGATGATTAGGTCTACCTGAATGCAAATGCTGCCCAGTGTAGACTCAACTTCTGCCAGGCCCTGCTTCAGGAGCTGGAGACACAGAGGTGGCTGAAACCATCATATCTACGCCTCAGGCTGAGACTGGAAAGGAGCCTGGAAGAGGCGAGACCCTGGGGTCTCCCCTGCAGGAGAATGCCAGGGCTGTGGGTCCCCACACACCCTTCAAGGCTACCCTTATAATAGCTGCTGACCCACTTCACCTATCGTTTCCTCAGCACTCCTACCACCCCTCTGGTGGCCCCAATAAAAGCTTCAGATGTCTCTGACCACCCAGCTCTCCTGGACCCTAAGAAGACTTCACCCTACTCCAACACCTTCTCAAATGTCTCCCCTCAGACACCTCAAAAATAACCCATAATCCTTCCAAATAATCTCAAGTCACCCAGTTGGGAAATCTCAGAATCTTCCAGCTCCTGCGACCTCAATAATGGCCTTGCCCTACTCAACCACTTCCCCAGAGCCTGGTGAGTGCTTCAATAATAAGCTCCACATCCCAGCACCCAGAGATTTTGACCTCATTGACCAGCTTGTCACATGGACGACGACCTCCCAGGGCCCCTCCCCCAACCGGCCAGACCCCCCCCCCAACGTCTATCTCACACAAGAGTTCCCCGTGGTGGCCCCAGACACCCCGACGACGACCACGTATCACTCCACGAGATTCTCAGCCCCATGGGACCCCCTCGGACAGCTCCCAGGAACCCCATGATCTCTCTGCGCCTTCTGAGTTAGTCCGTCATCCCTACAAAGCTTATCTTGCACAAGAGCCCCCCAGCATCCCAAGGCCGCCCCAGACACTCCGACGAAAACCATATGCCACCCTGAAAGATCCGCAGCCCCTCCGGGACGTCCGCGGGCAGCCCCC